CTGTTTTTTTTTTTCTTACTACAGATTTGATGTGTAATATGTTGGCAAAAAATAAAAAAAAAAACAAACTGGTGCTTAAATCTCCAAGAGAGGAACCATTGCAAGGAATGCAATGGTGGTGCTAGTGGTGGAAAACACGTTTTCAATAACAACAAAGATACATCATCGAGCCTGAACGACGGCAACAATGCCCCGGTAATAATTTTATTACATGTTTTTTTGTTTTGCTTCTCTGGCTTTTTCATTCTTCGTCTTCTATTGCGAACGCGCAACACAAACTGGACAAGTTTAGACATAATCCAGCTTCTAATACGAAAGAAACACAAAAAATACTATCATTCACAGCAACAGATGCTAAAGATTCTAAATGAGCTCTTAACACAAAAGTTCTTGCGCAAAAACGATTCAATTCCCCTTGCCATGGTTTCCCTCGGCCTTTGTCATAAGTGACCATTGACCACTTTAGTTTTTCTTGTTGTTGTTGTTTTTGCAAATATCTACAATAACAACACGATAAGAAAGAACACCACTTGCTGGAGAAATCCGCAAAGAGACCCACAAAAACAAAAAACAACAACAATCTTCAAAAGATTCTTAGCATTGAAAACTTGAAATACAGCATCATTGACAAACAACATTATCTCGTTGCTCCTCAGTGGAGCCCCAGAAAAAGAACAGCTGCTGTTAGCAGATTTTTTTGTTTATAGAAACGTTCTATCTTTAGTAGTTGCGATTGGATACTAATGCGCCGGCGCCGCATTATTACCCAACTTGGTCGTAAACAATGTCGTTTTTACGCTTTTCTAAACTCACAAAGGTTGTGCTCTGTGTTTTTGAGGAGGTGTATTTATGGGGAAGTAAGTAATGTAATTCCATATTATTTATGGGGAAGTAAGTAATGTAATTCCATATTAAGTATGTTGAATTGTAATATAAAAATGTGTAGGTGGCATTTTTATATGTCAGATCTAATAGCTGCTACAATTTGTGGGTTCATATAACTTGTAGCTGATAGATGTTGAACCTATTTAATATACTTTATGTGTAACATTTATGGAGCTCGGCCTTTGTCATAAGTGACCATTGACCACTTTAGTTTTTCTTGTTGTTGTTGTTTTTGCAAATATCTACAATAACAACACGATAAGAAAGAACACCACTTGCTGGAGAAATCCGCAAAGAGACCCACAAAAACAAAAAACAACAACAATCTTCAAAAGATTCTTAGCATTGAAAACTTGAAATACAGCATCATTGACAAACAACATTATCTCGTTGCTCCTCAGTGGAGCCCCAGAAAAAGAACAGCTGCTGTTAGCAGATTTTTTTGTTTATAGAAACGTTCTATCTTTAGTAGTTGCGATTGGATACTAATGCGCCGGCGCCGCATTATTACCCAACTTGGTCGTAAACAATGTCGTTTTTACGCTTTTCTAAACTCACAAAGGTTGTGCTCTGTGTTTTTGAGGAGGTGTATTTATGGGGAAGTAAGTAATGTAATTCCATATTAAGTATGTTGAATTGTAATATAAAAATGTGTAGGTGGCATTTTTATATGTCAGATCTAATAGCTGCTACAATTTGTGGGTTCATATAACTTGTAGCTGATAGATGTTGAACCTATTTAATATACTTTATGTGTAACATTTATGGAGGTCGAAATATCCTTTTAGAATCCATATGAACCTATATTTAAAGAACATAAGAACAAAGTGACTTTCGGTGTTAGCGCCAGATATGCATTTTGATTAGATTTGTTTGTTTGATTTGGTTTAGTTTCGGATATATTTTTTAGTCGTAGCAAAGTGTATATACCCTAATTAGTTAAAAGACCAAGGGTATAATTCCACAATAATTTTGAAGACAGAAATACTTACTTAGCTGGCTTGTTACAGAACGGTTGTTCCATAAGCCGAGCTTAAAAAAGATTTCCAAGCGCGTCGGTCTTGTGCGCAAGTCCACCAATTTGGAAGACCACGTTCCAAGATGTTGTTTTCTACTTGTCTTTCCATCTAATTCGTGGCCTTCCCCTTCTACGGGAACCATCAATAGGCTCATTTTTATATGCTTTTTGAGCTGGGGCATTTTCATTCATCCGCGTATAAATTGTAAAGCTCATGGTTCATTCGACGCCGATCTTCACCGTCGACGCAGATCGGCCCGTAGATCTTTCGGAGAATTTTTCTCTCAAACACCCCAAGAGCTGCCTCATGTGCTTGCGCAAGTACCCATGCTTCTGATCCATATAATAGCACGGGTAGTATCAGCGTCTTGTAAAGTGTGAGTTTGGTCTGACGGGAGGTGCCCTTGTTTCTAAACTGCTTACTTAGACCATAGTAGCATCTGTTGGCCATCACAATCCTTCTCCGAATTTCAGAACTGATGTCATTTGTTTTATTTATGGCGGTACCAAGGTATATAAAGTCTTTAACTACCTCCAAGCTGTAGTTCTCAAGTTCCACAGTTGTCTGGACGTCTTGCGCGTTGATACCATCAGATTGGTCTTCTCGCCGTTTACTGCCAGACCCACTTTGCCAGACTCCATTTCAATTTGTTCAAAGGTGACTGTTACCGCTCGCAATGTTCGACCCATTATATCAATGTCATCGGCCTATGCGGGTAACATGTGTTGTTTGGTGTACAGAGTGCCATTTCTGTTCACCTTTGCGTCTCGTATGACATTTTCCAGTAGGATGTTAAAAAGATCACACGACAAACTGTCACCTTGTCTGAATCATCGTTCGGTATTGAAGGGCTCCGATAGGTCCTTCCCTACTTTAACTGCCACTGTGCCACTTAAAGTTATCCTGCATAGCCGTATTAATTTTGCAGGAATGCCGAACGCAGACATGGCTTTAAACACCTCTGAACGGATAGGGCTGTCGAATGCGGCTTTATAGTCGACAAATAGGTGGTATGTGTCGATGTGTTTTTCGTGGGTCTTTTCCAGGATTTGGCGCAGAGTGAAAATCTGGTCAATGGTGGATTTGCCAGGTCTGAAGCCGCATTGGTATGGTCCGATGATGTCATTTACCATTGGCTTCAATCGTTTATATGCGATGGGAAGGAGACTTATTCCTCTATAGTTGGCACATATCGTCTTGTCTCCTTTTTTGTGCACGGGACACAGGATGCTGAGGTTCCAATCACTGGGCATGCATTCATCTAGCCAAATTGTGCTAATCAGCTTGTACATGCTCCTGAAATACAATAGGATTATTAGCCTGAAGTAATTTGTGCGCTTTCTGGCCTCGTGTACGTTATAGATAGGTCCTGCTCAATTTTAGGTATTTTGGAGTCCGAGAAGCTTTGTATACCACCCATCATGAAGTTTATATTAATTGTCATTACCTTTCAAACACTTCGATGTTCGGTATTGCAAATGAGATTTATCAGTCCTTTTTTGATGTAGCCCCCGATTTCGGATTTTGGAAACGTTATATAACGGTACCCCACTATATTTATTATTTTGGGGATTTTGGACACGTTTGCAATCGAATTGCCAGTAATTTGGTATTTTGGGTTCTTAGAACACGAGTTTTCTCCCGGAGCCCTCATTATTTTCATATATTTTGAATGTCATCCTCATTGTGGAGAGTATACAAAAATCGGCTGGGCCGAACTTAAAATAGTTTTACTTGTTTCATTTTGCATTAGAGGGTAAACATCTTCTTCGCATAATATCAATACAATAATGTCAATACAAAATTACAATAATACAACATGCCCAAACTCTCAAAAATACTGAAATTTGGGATGTACCATTTATGGATGTTTCCTAAAAAATTAAACAATGTTGAAATTTCCGATTGGCAGCTTTGTTATCGCATGGTAACCCTAGATTCTAAATTATAGCAAAATATTCCCCAAATACCGACAAATTGGGGGTACAGTAATATGGGGGCTTTCCTAAAGGTGGCCAATATTGATCGTAGTTACTACCAAATAAGATTTCCAAGTACTTATTTACAACTGAAAATTGCGAAATTTGTGCGTACATTCGTGCGGGCACTCCCTTGAAGGGAGACCAATGTAGATATTTTTTGGTAGGTGGATCTCTTATACAATGATAACACTAAATACCAAATTTCAATTAGGATGGAAAACGTGCCAAAAATTCCCAAAATACCAAATATCTGGAGGTATCGTTCCAACAAAATGTGGATCGATATATTCCTTTTTTAATTCGAAATATCAGTGTCCAAATTGCAAAGCTCTATCTTAAATATAGCGATTTACATATATGATAATTTCAACAGACAGGTAGACATGGCTATTCTGATCAGGAATATATACACTCCGATGAATATTTCGTGGTGTTGCAAACGGAATTACAAATTTAATATAAAAATCCACACTTAGTCATATTAAACAAAATTAACTTTGGATCTTAGTCTTAGACTCGGATGGCAAAATTTCGCCACAACAATCTGCCAATTCCTTAAAAGGCGAATGACGCTGTCAAATAACTACGTTTGTTAAAATATCGAAAATATGTTATGGTTTGCATGCAAGTGTTCTTTAAAGGATGCCATTCCGTAACTTGTTCAGCAATTATCATAAAATTTATATATTCTCCAGTTATACCTCACTCTGACCCCTAATACTAATTTATACAAATTTATATAATCTTAACCAAATATACATCATTTTATAATTATGCGTGTTTTTTTTAAATTCTGAACAAAATTCTATTGTATAAATAGGTCACACACACATTGCCACTTTGTGCTGGCCATTGCCGACCTTTAACACAAAAAAATTAAATAAAATTGGCAAGAAATTTATGCGAATTTATAATTTTTGCAAATAAAGATCCCATGACAGTCTAACGGTATAGAGGGCATGTCGATTTGTATCATTTATGTATACGGAGATATTCGACCGGTATAAAAGGTCAGAATCTTTGGCAAATTTTGTTAGTCTGTAGAAAGTTGTCGTAATCTTGTCATCCGTACTCACAGGTTAGGATTGAAGCGGTTAGAAAAATAAACCAAAATATGCGTTGGCAATTGATTTTATTAATTCTAAGCGCTGTAGCTTTGCAATCGGCATGTAAGTTTATAAATTGAGATTTTTGAAATTATTTTTAATAACATTTATTCAAATCTTTATAGATGGTCAATATGGTCGCAGACAAATAGGTAATCGCGGACGTCAAACTATGCCAAACGGTGAGAGGTATTTCATATTCAAAAAAAATAAATACCAACAAGCTCCTGCCACACCCACCGTACCCATGACTCCAACAAGTCCCACAAGTCCAACGACACCAACATCTCCCACGTCACCAACATCTCCTACCTCACCAACATCTCCTACTTCACCAACTTCACCTACGTCCCCTACCTCACCAACATCTCCTACATCACCAACTTCACCCACGTCTCCAACCTCACCCACATCTCCAACATCACCAACAGCAAGAGATGAAACCGATTCCAAGGATTACGACAAATCCTTTTATTACGGCGATTATGACAACGAAGACCTCGACGATGAAGACGATGAAGATTATAGTGCCAACTATGTTGCTGTGGGAGCCTATTCCCAATCTGGTAGAAAACCAGCAGGATTTGCCCGCCGCCAAATGAACCGCAGGCAGCAGGGAATTCGCCGTAATCGATTTGCCGGACAGCAACAGAAAATACGTCGCGATAATCGTAGTAAACTTCTCGAAGAAAGCCAAAGGATTGTCGTCGGAAATCCTCAACAACAAAAACAACGCCAATTTAACGGACAACAACAGAGAATTCTTCGCCAAAGACGTCTAAGGAAAGTGGCAGCTGATCCGGTTATCTAAATGAAATAAAATGTTTTTGACTAATTGATTGCGAATTTGGTAGTTTTTATTTAAAGAATGGGGTTTGCTAATCAGCAATTAGTTAAGGAAAAAGTGGTTTCTTCAAAGAACCGGCATTCACATAGGTAGTATCATCCATGGAGGAAATCGAAGCTAGCTTCCGGATGCTAGTTTTTTGAGTATTTGATTGAATATACTCAATTGTTCTTCAAAGGTTGTTTTTGATGATTGAGAGTTGATTGTATGATTTATGGGAGTTGATTGTATGATTTTTGGTTTTTAAAATGCCACGAGTGGGACAGCAATTTAATGCAATTTTCCACCCCAATAATCAGACATAACAGGCGATATAAGGCTAAATGTTAGGTCTGGGTGTACCTTTTACGAAAAATAGAGGAGTTTTGTATACATCTTATGAATTTTTTTCAACACGATTTGGTTATTATGATACGTGTCAATGCTGATACTTAAATAACCTAGCCGATAAAGTTCATTCACCGAAAACTATTGTTAATAAAATGTGCAAATTATATGCAAATTAATTTGTTGCGAACCAGTTTCGAAATATTTTAAATTTTGCAACAAAATTCTATTTTTAAATGTCGCGGTCTAATTAAAAATTCCGTTTGAAGCCCATTCGATATTTTAGTAAATTTATTGACAAACAAATGAGTCATTTTTTTAATCAGCGGTTGCTGTTTGTTTACTGAATTAGTTATGTTTAAAGTTCTCAAATGGATATTTAAATAATTTAAAACAAGTAAAAACGGTTTTAAGTTCGGCTGGGGTGCATTCAAAATTCCCCCCAAAATTTCATATATGGGGACTGGGTCATGTTATAGTAGGTTGTTCATGCTCCGAAAAAATAGTTTTTCAAATTACAGACTCTCTAGTTGAAAAACTTAAACGGGACCATATATTTTTTTATTCGCCAGAAATTCAAAATGTCAAATCCATGAGAAAATTCGGTAAATTATTTATTAAGAAGAAGAAACGGAAAATTTAGGTGGGGTTATATCAAAACATGGACCTATATATACACAGAAACGAGTTTAAAAGTGTCAGCCGGTGTTGCCGACAGATATATACCCCAACCTATGGGTTGCGGAGGAGGTATTCGTATATGTCTAATTAAAGAGGTTTCGGATTTTATGGTGATCAAATATTAGGTTGAGGAAAAAAACATTAGGCCGGACGTCGCAATTGTCGATTAAATCGGAGAAAAGATCGAAGTGGAGCGACATGTTAGCAGTCGTAACATCGCCCAGGAGATAAAAATCGACCATGAAACCATTTACACAAAACTGTATTAAAAAAGAAGCTCGATGTTTGGGTGCCACACCAATACAGTGAAAAAGATAGGATGGATCGAATTTCTATCTGCGAAGCCATGGCCAAACCCATTTCTTAAACGGATTATGACTGTAGATGAGAAATGGATCACATACGATAAGCCTGTGTGAAAACAACTGGCAAAGCACCTCAAACGATAGCCAAACCAGGACTAACGACCAGGAAGGTTCCACTATGCATTTGGTGGGACTACAAGGGGATTATTTTTTATGAATTGCTTTCATATGGCCAAACGCTAAATTCTGATTTCTACTGTCAACAACTGGACCGGTTGAAGATAGCAATTGACCAGAAACTAGAATTGGCCAACAGGAGAGGTGTCGTGTTCCACCAGGACAACGCTAGATCACACACATTTACAGTGACTCGCCAGAAACTTCGGGATCTTGGTTGGGATGTTTTAATGCATCCGCCATATAGTCCGGACTTGGCACCAAGCGATTATCATCATGTTCTAGCATTGCAAACTTTCTTGCCAAAAATCTCCTAAATAGCGAATCTACGATCTCTATCGTTATTGCAACAGACAGACGGACATTCATAAATATACATAGAATTGTATTCTGATCCAGAATATATATACTTTATGGGTAGAGATGGTATTTACCGGGTAAATACCCAAGCGGTGGGTAAATACTGGGGAAAAAACCCATTTGCGGGTATTTATATGGGTATTTACTATATTGAATCGGTAATACAACATCTTACACCCTATTTCCGGGTTTCTGTTATCAAATCGATTTAGAATGGATAGTTTTACGATACTTTAAAGACGTGGGTAAATACCCGAGTTTTTACCCAACAATTGGATATAAACTCATTAACTGCCGAACCACTTGACATAAACATACATGTTTTTTATATCAAAGCAAATATAGAAATCCGAAATGGGGTCCCTGGGTCCAAGTTTTGATATAGCCCCCATATAACCGTATCCCCCGATTTAAGATATTTTTTGTCTATTTGACACCTTTTACAATCCAATTGGCTGTAATTTGGCACAGAGTGTTCTTTTTTGGTTCCAAATGTCCATGCAAAAATGTATGTATGTAGGCCCACGTTTACTGGTAGCCCCCATACAAAGGTACCCCTATTTTGAGTATTTATCCAAAAATTGGGTATAAACTCATTAAATGGCGAACCAATTGACATAGGCGGCCAAAATTTTGCATATATGTTTTCCTCTTTGTTTTCCCAATTATATTTCGAATTTTTAATTTGAATTTCATTAAGAACAAATACAATACCCAACAACAACACAACCATAAAATATACAAACTACTCTATTATGGTAACAAAACTATTAAGGAATGTGTGTAATAGGCCGTTTAACTACCAAAACTAAAAACTTGTTTGCATCCCATCTCAATACCTGTTAGACAGCATTGACTTTTATGCTTTTACATTGCCTTTGTAAAATTGTTGACACCGTTTGTCGGCACTGTTCGGCCTGGTATCATTTGCAGACATCAGAGCTACACAAGTTGCCATGGATAGTATAACAAGCCCATAGCAAATTGTAATATTCTGTAAGTTGTCATCAATAATGTTTTGTTGAAATTTAATGCTTACCTTAAAACAACGAGACAACAACGAACCAAAAACTACTTTTCCAATATTAAAATTAAAAAAAAATGAAAACGTTCTCACATCATTTGCTTCGTTCTAAAACCAAAAACTGAACAAAATCCAACGCTACTTATATTTCAAGTGACACAGTAAAGCCACAAAATCAATCAAATCGACAATCGAATCAAATTGTTTCAACCGCAATAACCGTGAAACGAAACACTAATGACCGACTAACTCAACAACATCAAGCACCGAAAAAACAACAACTTGGAAACATTGCCAAAAGCAATTTCATGTTTTGTTTTTGTTCTCTTCAAGTTGCTATTTTTGTTTCTTCATCAAATGTACACTTTTTGTTTGCTGATCTTCAGGCAAGCAGGCAGGCCGACATCATTCAATACGACAATTAATAATATTCTTAAGAAATCATCATTTGTCAAGAGTTTTTTGCAAAAACGAATTGAATTCTAAAATTAAAACATGTTAGAAAATGATACAGTTGATGGTGACGACCATGTGATGACCTACACACGTACACGACCGGGATTTTAAATGCGAAATATGGCCTATGTCAAAACTGACTTATTGACAATGTATATTTTACCCATCAAGGATCAAAAATGAATTTTAAATTTGCTCCAAAGTGATAGACCTTTCAATAAGTTCGTAATGGACAATCTATACCTTTTGTGGGAATATTATTAATAGGAGTTCGTCGGTACCTCAATTGAACTCTTTCAATGTCAGAAGAAGTCGTTGAGGGTTCAGAGTAATATATCAACCAGTTTTCAGAAGTTTTATAAACAAAATCTAATGGGTAATTCAATTTGGAATTAGGAAGAACTTGATATAAATTACTAACCCTACAATCACGAGAACAATGTAAAAGGTACACTGAAGCGAAGCTATACCATTATCATTCGCTGCACTTTTTGATGTAGCTTAGAAAATATCTAATAGAGGTACTAATCTGTCTGTGTAAACAGAGAAGAAATCGGCAAATGTTCAGGAGTCGGAATAATATTGTAATCAAAAGAACGTTTTATAAAGTGCAGTGAATATTAAATTTGACATTCATTTTGCAGCATATCAAAAGATTCGATGGAGACTCCATAACTTTTAGTTAATCTTGAGCATAATAAAATTCTATGTCTATGTAGACTTGTCCGTCTGTCTGTTTAAATCACGAAATATAAAAGATCAAACCTTGTAAATTTGCATACACCTTGCTACAACTCCTAGAGTGTTTGGACGTAGCCTCTATATGAAGATCCTGCACATTTTCGGTATTATGAAGGCTTTATACGCATTTCCCCACCGAAGTGGCTGTCATTTGGGATTTCAAGCTACCGTTTGGTTAGGTCCGGTGGATTCAGTTCTTGCTCTAGTTGTATTTGGTCGACTTGCAATTCTTGATTTCGATATCACATAAGCAGAGAATTACAGCAAA